CCCAGAGTCAGTGTGGATGTGGCCCAGAGTCAGTGTGGATGTGGTCCAGAGTCAGTGTGGATGTGGTCCAGTCTCAGTGAGGGTCAATGTCAGAGACAGAAGACCCTGAATCAGTTCATATCCAGGAACCCCTTACAGGAACGTTCTTCTCCTCATTCCCGTAAGAACTGGTGGGCCTGCAGAGAAGAGTTACAGGAGGAGAACCAAAAGACATCTGGGTCATGGTTGCGCTCAGTCATGACTCATCACGTCATGTTTGTTTGACAGCTAGGGGGATTTAAGAGTATGTTGCTGCAGACCCTGGTCTTTGTTAATGAGGCCCAAATGTAGAGTCAAGGGTGTTGAAATGAAGAACAGACGAGAACCGATGAGTCACAGGAGGAATTCTAGCTCTTTATCGTCTGCAGCTAGCTCCAAAGGAAAAGTCAGCTGTGGTTCCACACACAGGCGCCAGGAAAACCACCACCGAGGCAGATGTGATGGCTAAATCCGACAACATCTTCCACATTTCTGTAGATTGTGAACCTCTCACTCTCCAGGACAGAAGTCCATAGAGAAAATGAGCGATTTTCACAGCACATGTTGATCCACTGATGCATCCAACACGAAGGTCACTTCAGTGTTTGAAATATTGTTAGGCTTCACCTTAGTGACACTGACTGACCAGAGGAGGCAGCAGCGGCAGCAGCTTCACTGTCGCGCTCATCTCAAATCACTGCTTTTCTTTTTGTGTGGGATGTTGGTGAAAGTCCAGATAAAAAAAAAGTCCAGACAGTCTGATACGAGGACTTCAGACTCTGATGGCCATGATGAAGTAAGTGATGTGTGTCCTGGTCTGACCAGGTCTTGGTCCTGCTGTTTTCACAGAAGAGAGGAACAGGCCTTGATATGAAGCCAAGAATGGTCTGATAGTGAATGTGGTGACAGTTCACGGCTTATCTCTTATCTGTGTCTCTCAATAAAAGTCATGTGTCTTTGTTTAGAATGAAGCTTCAACATCAGGCAGACCATTTATGATTGGGAGACCACGTACACTTGGATCAGCATCTCGTTCTCTGATGACTTTAAAGGTTAAAGGTTTGACCTTAACATCCTGACAGGAAGTGTCCAAATTCTTGACACTGTCTACCTCAGACGTGTCTAAGGACCAGGATTGGTCCCTGCTCCAGACTTTAAACAAACCAACAAAGTGTGCATCATGTTTTTATTCTTTTAATTTTTAATGTTTCAAAATGTGTGTCTCTAGTTTGATTTCTTAACTTTGTGTTTAGAGCTGAATAAATTGACACCGTGCTGCGTTCACTGACATTATGCTGCATTCGTTCAGTTTATGCTTCATTAAGCGACTCTGCGCTGCGTTCACTGACACTCTCTGTTGCATTCAGTGTCTCTGTGTTGCCTGTATTGACTCTGTGTTACTTTCACTGGCTCACTTCATTAGTTCTGTGCAATGTTCACTAATTCTTGGCTGTGTCTCCCCCAGCTTTGTGCTGTGTTTACTGACTGCTGTCTCAGATTGTTCTGACTGACTGTTCTCTGGTGTGTGTTTTTGAACCTGTTTGGACTCAACTGTTTACAGATTTATTGGCTGTTGAAGGCAGGAAATGATAACAAACTTCAATGTCTGTTCCATCACTAATGTTCTGACCTCATTTAGCTCCTCTGCAGGCCAGAGATCTGTTTAACCTGTCAGCAATACAAGTTTGTGTTTGTCTGCTGAAATATATATTATATAATTTATATATACATAAATATGTATATATAAATATATATGTGTGTGTCTGTGGGTGTGTGTTGATTTTTTTAGGTAACAGTAATCTGTTTATCTGACTTTAATGATTTAAAGTGGAGCTGCAGCTCTGGAGTTGAAGTGATAACAACAAGGTCAGATTCTGTCTTCTTCGTTTTTTCCTCGTCAACATCCTCAGCTGTAACTGTAAACATGGAGATCATAAAAACAAACAGGAATGAAAAGAAGTGACGTCTTCAGAATCTGTTCATTGTTTTATCTCACTGTCCCAACAGACTGACTTTTAGAAAGCACCCACTCAGACAGACCAAAGTCCACGGAGAAAATCAGTGATTTTAGCTCACAGACCAATTTGGTTTATTTGTGCTTCCATTAGTCAGTTTAAATGTGTTATCATCTCACTTTGGAATCTGAAATCATAAATTTAAAATAACCTCAGTGACACAGGATAGAGTTCCCTTCTTATTATCAGCAGCTGTTGTTTGTTGGTGATAACACTAATGTCACCAACAGATAAGTGCTTACTAAACTACATTATTTACTGTTGGTCATAAAAAAGGTTTTCACACAAAAGTGAAACTTTAAACCTGCAGAAAGGAAATGAATACATTTATGTAATAAAAACAGTGTGAGTCTTTGCAACCCACACAGGCTGCCATGGAGGTCGCCAGTAGGTATGGCTCCTCTTGGGCAGTTGTGTAAGGAAGGCCTGATTGCCACTACACTCTGGAGCCTCTTAAATAGGGAAATATAAGGTACTGCAGTAGCCCGGATGTCATCTCTGGTTGGCCTTGAACCAGCAACTTCTCAGAGACAGGAAAATATTATTTTGGTTGTTCACTATTCAAAAGGAAATAAACAGAAAAGGTGACTCTGCAAACTGGACTCAAATAGAGAAAATAACTGATTGGATTAAATGTTTCTTATTCTGTAGAACTCTATAGTTCTGCTCATTTTTATTCTTATTTCGAGTATTTGGGAGTTCTGACAGGATAAAATGAGTCGGGGGGAAAAGACGACAAAATCGTATCTCGAACAATACCGCCATCTACTGGCAGCGAGTGATCAATGCAGCCAGTTTTCCGGATAAAATGTTTCAATTTAACATTAATTCATTATAAACCACTTACGTGATCCGAGTTAACTAAACAATACGTTGATGACAAGTTTGGGATCCCAAGATTTAATTTAGATCAAACAGCCATAACATTTGAAATGAATCAAACACACTGCTGATGAGCTTTAGAAAAAATGCATTTATTTAATTTTTTTCTACATTTTTTGTAAAATACATCACCTCAATTTAAATTCTGTTCCAACAACAAACTGTTTTTCCCTCTACGTAATGAAACATTTTCTCTTATTGTTATATAAATAGGTGCAAAAGTGTAAAAAGTGAAAATCCACACACCATAAAAGACCGGAAGGGGTTATTTTAATTAATTTCCACAACAAACTTTTTTTTTGCTAAGTTTTTTTTTTCTTTTTAAAAGATTCATATCATTATCTTCACGTGCACATTCATCATTATCTCCACATACACACTAATGATTTCTTTCATTATCTTCACGTGCACACTCATTATTTCCATTAGGTTTACAGTTTAGCCACTGCTTTTTTCTAAAGTGCTGTTTAAGGCTCGAGGCTTCGCCTCGGTCCATGTAATGTGTCACTCTTGTGTCCTACTCAGCGGCAGGTACAGGACTGGGCCACCATGTCCTCCAGCTCACGGTACTCCACTTTCTTTTGGTGGACCACCAGTACGCTCATGGGCATGTAGCTGTAGGGCACACAGGAGGGCGGGGGCACCTCAGCCACGCCCATCTGGTTGATAAGTGTCTGAATGATAGCATGGTTTGGTGAGTGGTAACTGTACGGCAGAAGGCGTGGGCAGTCACCGCGGCAGAAACGTGGATTGTAGACAGGCGGGGCGATGAAGTAGTGACCCCAACCTAGTTCACTGAAGGACAGACGAAAGGAATGAAGACGGCAGCGATTCTTTTGAAGGCTGGTCTTACGTTTGATCATGCTGGGGAAGGTGAAGGTTATGGGGGAGGAAGGGGAGGTGGTGGTGGAGGAGGAGGTGATGACAGTGTTCTTCAGAGCCTCCACTAAAGGCTTCTCAGGTCCTGATGGATCCTTGGAGCGACGGCGTCGCAGCAAAGGGCTGTAGCCCGCCATTCTTTTCACAATGTTCCTCCCTTGATCTCCCAGCAACTCCTCCATCCACTCCTTTCCCTCCCTCTGCTCTTCCAGATACAGGAGGAGAGAAGGCACCTCGACATGAAGTTGCACTGGCCCACCAAGACCAGACCACTGTCTCCACCACCAAGCGGTGCTGTTGTATCCGGCAGAATTAGGCTCGGTGCACCTGTACTGAGCTCTGAGGGTCAGGTGACCTCCACCCTGCTCCTTCTTTTGCAGCATATGTGTGGTCACATGTGCTGTGATGTCTGTCTCCGTCCACTGCTGATGAGGCTCCAGGGTCACCAGGCTCTGTGGGCCCAGAGAGGTGACCGTAGCCGTGCAGCGTGGAGGTCCCAGGGCCCAACTACTCCTGCTGTTGGAGGAGGAGGAGGATCGGAGGTGTACAAAGGAGGCTCTGATTAGCTGCTCCGTGGGAAAAGTGTCCAGCTCATACTGGACCTGGAACGTGTGGTGGTGGTGGTCTGAGAAGGAGAGAAGCAGAACTTCAGGCAGGGGTCACCAAGAATTATAACAACTCCTGAACAAAAACAATGTTCATGAGATACTTAAGATGACTGACGTACGTAACACAAAGCTCAGATAAATTCTTTGTACTAAGAACAGTACCAGGAATCAGTTGTGTGTCTTACCACTGTAGAAATCAGTTCCTATAACTATTCACATGAACAGGACTAGTATCTGTGCGTGTTTCTGCTGTGAGAAGCAGGAACCAGATGAAGTACTGTGAATGCTACGGTTTGCTTTTCCAAAACCAAGCGGTCAAAACAACGCGTCTGATGTGTCTGACTACCAAGACGCTGTTTTTCTAATTGGTTTTTAGTCGACTGAACTCTGGATCATTTGAGCTATAACTGATCTGAAGTAGGACCATGGTGTTTTTTAACCTTGACAACAAATCCATTGTTATTTTCTAACTAGAAATATGAAGCAGGGCAACCTCCCCAATCATCTTCATCATCATTAGAATTTGAGTTCTGAACCCTTAATCATCCACAGTTGAATACACTTATCCACAGCGAGAACTTTGAATGTATCTGTTACAACATCAAACACGGAAAGTGATCACATTTTGTTGGTGTAGCAGTGAATAAAGAGATGCATGTTACTGTAAGTCCCACTAGGGGGCCACAATTTCATTGCTTCACCTCTTGACGCAGGAAGGTGCTGTACCGTGCACGTGGCGGGTCTCAGAAGCCGCACAGTATTAGAACCAAACTTCCGGTATTGTTTAGTTCTTCCGTCCGGTTCCGCTGCACTTTGGTACAGACTCAACATGAAGCGTACGTTCTGGTCACGACTTTCCCGCGCTGCGCCACTGTTGATGATCAGGAAAAACAGGATGTAAAATCGCGACAACATGTTTGTTTGTGAAAACGGCGTCACTAACGTAAAACGTGGTAAAACGTTCGCAGTGTCATCATCTTTGCGTTTTATTCTAAACGCTCACTAGTGGAGTAAACGCCAAGCCAATTAAGCGTTCACAGCTATAGGTCACGCCCACAAGAGAAAGTGGAGTCACCTGATTGGTGGGTAAAGGTCACTGGGAATCGGTGTATGGTAGAATACAAAGATGCTTTATTTTTTTATTTAATTTTATTACTTTTATATATATTTTTAATGATTAAGGTCACAACCTATTACAACGTTGAGATGAATTACAACTAAAAGTAACCGTTTTTGATTTACAGAAACAAATACTGACTCCTGAGAAAATTATGAAATATAACCCAAAATGAATCAAACAAAGATGATTTCTTTAGTAATCGACAGGAAGCAAAAAATAGCATATACGTAGAATTCCGTTGATGTAATGTGTCGCTGTGAATAGTTTCTGATCGTTTTTCAATACAGCGATTGTTACCGGTCTAGCCCCGCCCACTGCTTTTTAATAGGACGGTTAAAGGCAAGCGCTCGTTGCTATTGGTAGTATTACCTGTCATTTACATTAAGTCTTTCGAACATTGGGAGGGGCTTGCTACCTCACTTTGGAAAAGTTTTCTCAGCATTTCAAGCTGTAAAGCTATCAACGATAAAACCGGAAATACATCAGCGAGAATTCAAAATAAAGCAATTGAACGTTTGTGTTGTGATTCCGAATGCGATAAGGTAGCGTTGTATATGAAATAAATGGTAAGTCAAGAAATGCTACAAAATGTTAAACAACGTTGTAGCCGCAATTTTGCAGAGTTAAACATTTAAATTTGGCTTTAAACAGTATAACAGGAAATTGTATCCACTGTGTCAACGCTAACTTTCCGCTTTCTTCTCCTTTCTCCTTCCTTCCTCCAATGTTCCATCACTTTACTCCTTGTTGTCGCCGCAGCAACGATGGAGGAGCTGCGGCTCCGTTACCGGCCACGCTGAGCAGAGTTTGGCAAAGTTTAACTATCCAGTGGAGCCTGAGCTGGATTCACAACGACGCCGAGACGCTTTAACAGCGGGAAGAAGCACAGCAGCTCCCGGCGCGGAGGTAGAGGATGGAGACCGTGGAGCAGCTCGTGTCCTTCCACCACATTCAGGTCCAGTTGAGCGGGGGCGCGCCCTGGGGGTTCACGCTAAAGGGAGGGTTGGAACACGGAGAGCCACTCATCATCACCAAAGTAAGTTTTTTAAGTATTTATATTGAAATGCAACATGGTCGCTCATCATCATTTAATGGAAACAATGATAGAAAGTACCCCATCAAATCACAAAGAGAAACATTTGGACTAATATAATACCCCTGGCCGCTCATTGAAGTTGGTTTAAACGTGTTAAAAGCTTTTGATTTAAACATAGTACCTGCAGGGATTTAGTTACAAACGAACTAACACTAACTCAGTTTTCTGAATGCCCCAACTGTATGTTTTAAGTGCATTTCGAGTTGAAGTAGTTACTGGTGGAAAAAGAGAACCAGGAGGTGGCAGTAATGAAACTTTGTCAGGTACTAAATAAGAGCTACTAGAAGCTGTTGAAATCAGTTGAAGAAGAAGTAAATGATGATGGAGGGTCCGGATCAGCTCACAACAGAGACTGAACATTTGAAGCTGCAGTGTATTTTGTTATTGCCCTTGTTTGTTTATATTTAGTTACTACGTGCTGCCATCTTAAATCTTATAGGGTTCTCTAAAATAAGACTGCATATGCATATGAACGGTCCTGTCAGGTACATGGGATACTACATTGGTGTCATATGGTTCAAAAACCTTTACATGGGATACTACATTGGTGTCATATCGTTCAAAAACTAGACTCTTTATTGTTGCATTCATTTACAACAATTCACAAACACAGGTTAACAGGTTGTTGGGTTTCTGCAGCACAGAGGCAAACGTCAACAACAAATCTGAAGTGTTAGGTCTTGAGGAGAATGAGGCGAAGGGTAAATGTGGCAGTAAATACACTTGGTTTGAGTATTAGTTTTAGTGTATAATAAATTCACAATTAAATCTTGATGTTCAAGCATGCTTATATGTATATGTGTGTGTTTGTATTGAAATATATGTATATATTTACGTTTGTTTGTATGCATGCAAGCATGTTTGTTTCTAGGATTGTTTGCACGTATCATATGTGTGCATGTTTTAAACAATCTTTGTCGTGACTTTTGGTTGGTGTATTCAGATCAGCAGCTGTGGCGATTCTGTGTTTCACTGAATTATTGAGCGAATTTTCAAAGTTGAGTCAAAATGAAGCAGATAGCCCTTCACCTCCTGAGATTTCAAAGCTCTATTCCACACTTCCAGGTCCATGTAGTCCATGCTGTGTGTCTTGTGAGTTAATAGTACTGTATCGTCAGAGTTGTGGAGTGTGGAGAAGAGTTGTGCAGAAGTGTTCCTCAGAGCTCCAGAAACAGTTCCCTGAAGAACCGTGGACCAGAACAGACTGTGTTCATCATGCTGTCTCTTCTTTCACCTTGACAATGACAATGACAGGCGTGCAGACAGTTGCTGCCTCAGCTGAAGAATTCTCCTGAAGACTAACCGTCCCCTCTCTCTGCTGCTGTCTCCATCTTCTGTCCACCTTTAATTCTCAGGAGACAATGAAGCGGGACAGATGAGCTAGTGTTGAGGATGTTGTTGTAAATTATTCCTTCTCAAATGTATTTTTTATATGACGACCAGACCCCCCTCCTCGACCCCCCGACCCCCTCCCTCTGTAAAGAGGAGCTCAGTTCAAACCAACACTGTGTGTGATTCTGTGAAAGTTGGGAGTTAGTGTGTGATTTAGTGTGTGTTCATTGATGTAGACGTGACCTGGTGGTGTGTGTAATGAAGTTGTGTGTGTGTGGGGGGGTATTTCCTGTCGGACTCTTCTCACATTTTCACGCTGTGAGTGTTGAGCTGCTGGAAATGAGGCTGACTCTGAATTACTGCCTGTAATTATTACTGAGAGCCTGAGCGGGGTGGTCCGCATGTCTGCGTGTGTGTGTGTGTGTGTGTGCATGTGTTCAGTTGGCCGGTTGACTCTTTCTCTCTCTATCTCTCGCCCACTCCAGCTGAAACTTCACAGCAGTAGTGAACATGTTGGCTGCTGCTCTGCTTCCATGTTCACCACAGCAGCTGGGAATGGAAAAGTCTGGAAACACCGTCATCTAGAAACACCACACACACACACACACACACACTCTGACACGGCCTCTGGGAAAATGTGACTGAGACTACTTTACAGATAAAAATCAAACTGAGGTTGAGGGCTGTTTTGTGTCCAGTGGGCTTGTAATGTCAGACACACACAGACAGCAGTGGAAAATGTCAAGAGTGTTTAATGATTAAATGTACCAATACCTGTGAATTTCCTCATTCTTGAATTAAAAACAGAAGCTCACGTCTTTAAGTTCACTACATTTATCAAACAGTCAAGAATTGAAGATCTCTGTGCTTTGATTTATTATTTCACTAAATTAAAATTGGAGTACCAGCTGCAGAGAGGTAACTTTACATAAAAAAATAAGCCTCTTATTATATTAAAACAAATAATAGAGTGCTTATAAACATGGTTATACCAACAGTAGTCAATTGGTCCACATTCTAAAAAGAACAGCAGTGACGTGGAGCCTTCAAGGATATAAAACAAACAATGCTAATGAGTGACAAAAACAGTCAACAATGCTAACCTTCAAAACAAGCATTCTGTGATTTTTTGCTGAGCCTAACCCTAACCTGGTCAGTAGGTCAGACTGACACTGAGCTCAGAGATTGTCAGAGAGCATCTCATAATGTCACGTTACATGACCATATCGTTACATTACATTAACCATCTGTTAACGTCATGGAGCAGCCGAGTGACTGTCAGGAGCCTGTGCCTCTACAAACATAGTGAGCCCAAATAACACGCTGTAAGTATAGAGTGTATCAATTCGGGATGCCTTTCTTTCAAGTGTTTTGCCAGGTTCGAAGTGTTTCCTCATTTGGTTTGAAAACTTCGCAGAGTCAGTTTTTGTGGATTTATAATTGCTCCACGTGCGACTCCTGCCAACCAGCTTTTTAATAATTCTAGGTGATGTGTTTTAATTTTTTCACCAACATTTGCTGAAGCTCATTTTTAAGAATAGACCACAGCTGTTCTTCTTTGGTGGTGGTGCTGACTGCTCAGTGCTCCCACACGTACGCTGTCCCCCACAGTACGGCCAAGAACACGGCCCACTGAGGGAAAAGTTGAATACTCCACAGTTACAGTCCTGGAAAAAACAGGCTGCAACATATTTTTTGTGTGTGGGCATGGACTTGGTACCAAACTATTGGTTTTTGTGACAACCATAGAGTTAAGTATGAGATTTGTGTGTGTGTGTGTGTATGTGTGTGTGTGTGTGTGTGTGTGAGAGAGAGAGAGAGAGTACCTGTCACAGTGTTTGACTGAGGTCTTGGTGTGAGAATCTTTAGAACTCCTCTGGACATCCTGTCACGGTCTGCCTTTGTTTAAGGGATCTGATAGTTAAATCTTTGTTAGTGGGCTGCAGACCATGAGGTCAAAGGTCGTCAATAAGGGGGTCTACTCTGGTGTGATCCAGAAAAGTTCCAGTAAACACGACTGATATCTCTGCAACAACTGAGCTCTGGTGGAGCGGAGCGAAGCTGTGGGAAGGTCAGCATCGGAAACAGAAGATATAGGATCTGAAAGTGGAGCATTATGGGATATGTTTGACAACGGAGAAAGTGATTTAATTTGGAAAGATGTCTTCTGACTGTCAGAGTTGTATTACTGTTCTGTTCTGAGGTGTTTTCTAGGTCAGAGACCGTGGTGATAGCTACTGTGTCAATGTTCTTCAGACTGTTGTGATTCTACACAGATGCTGGTCAGAGTGAATCCTTGGCTGGATCATGTGATCAGCTGATTCAGACAGGAATCTACTGTCTTCAAAACCTTCAGGCAGAGGGAGATCTGTGGGAGATCTTGAGGAATTCAGGATCTCCCACAGATCAGATCAGCTCAGATCAGCCATGCCTGCAGCTTTTTCTGA